TCACTTTCCATTGATCTTTCCCTGTCTCTGTCCATCTCTGGTCAAATTTTAAAATTAATTGAATAATTAAATGGATAAATAAAGCTAAATTAAATAAAGCTAAATTCTTTAAAAAATTAAATCCTTCCTCCCCCATAAATGCATCCTTACCTCCAGGGAAAACATGTGTTTTAAGAGTTAGACCTGGATTTTCAAATTCCAACTCTAAGTGATCTTCAACAAGCAGTTAAACTCTAGTAGTGAGTTTTTTATTTGCACAGTGGCGATGTAAACTGCCTCATGTAGTAATTGTAAAGGTTCAATGGAATTGTTTACGTGGTTCCTGCCAAGGTACTCAGCGAAGGTTCAAGCAGTGGTGGTAGTGCAGTCATACAAAGCAGGATCACCTGGAGTCTCTGGGCCTCTGTCAGGCAACGTAAATTAGATCTGAGTTCTAAATTTAAAAAGAGAGACCAGGGAACCAGCAGTTAGCGTAATGGCTATGTCGCTGGACTCCCACGGAGTCGACTGCAGTTCACGTCCCGGGCCCGGTGGCTTAAAACTCACACCAGGCGTGTGTGCGTGCATGCCCGAGAGGAGAATGGAGGAGAAGGGATTGCAGCGTGACCATCCCCCCGGGGGGTGATTTCTTGCTTTCTGTCTCTATGTCTCTCTCTGTCTGTCTGGCGAGCGCACGTGCCCTATAGCGAAAAAACCTCTCAAAAAAAAAAAAAAAGAGAGAGAGACCACAGTTTTGCCTTGTCTTGAAGTAATAATGAAGTATTAATTGCTGGATGGGAGTGCACTGGTAAAATGCCATGCTCTGCAAGGTTGGCTCTCATGGGAAGGTCCTGAGTTTGCATCCAGAATCTCCCTGGACAGACTAGGTATGCAGAAGTGCCCAAGATCTGGGAGTGGCTGAGGCTAGGCATGGACCATTGCATCAGGGGGAAGAAGTGTTACCATGGCATTGTTATTATAGCCATGGCTATTGTATGCTAGTTTCATCTTTTGCCTGCCAGATCTCAATTTAACCTTTCTGTATTTGCAGTCCAACAAAGAGTTAACCAAAGACCGAGATTCCCTCAAGCTGGAGTTATACAAGAACAAGTAGGATGGCAGAAGGTGGGAGGGAGGCCTGGGAGTCTTACTGAGGGAAATACAATAGGAGGTGGGAGGGTGAGAATGCCAAAGTGGTCATATAGGTTTGCACGTGTGCAGAGCTCAGTTTAGTCCTAGCTAAGTGCCACCCAGGACTTTGATCCTAGGGTCCTTTCTGGTACCATGGCTCTGCAAAGGGAAGTGGGTTGTTCATTTAAGTGGACCTACATTTTTTTTTTTTTTTTTGCTCTTTCCTTTTACCGGCTTGGACTGCCTCTGGTCATAGCAAAAGCAATAAAGACATGAAGAAGCTGATCTCTTAATTAGAGGAGAAGCTTTGAATTGTCACTGCTGAGAAGGCAGCTGGGCAGCTCAGGATGGAGGAGCTGCAGAAGAAACTGGAGATGTCAGAGCTGTTGTTACAACAAGTGAGAGAGAGCAGCCCCTGGAAACGTGACCCCATCCAGCTGTGGCTGTGGTCTCCACGAATCATGGGGTGGCCTGCAGCCACAGTTAGAAAATTTAGATCCTTGATTTGGTCCTGTCATAGGCTTCTTCTGAGATTGCTAAAAATCCACAAATAGGGACCCTGCTTAGCTCTGCAAAATCAGAGTCGTAGGGGTAGGGTATTGTACACATTTATATTTCTCCCTCTATGGCCCTTTTGAGCACCCTCCTCCTATTTGGCTCCCCTGCCCTCTAACTTCTCTGGACCCCTAACCCTTCTTGATAGGTGGAAGGGAAACACAGCAGGAGGGTCCACCGAGGTTTCTAGGGGGGCAGGGCTCCTTTCTACATTTCTGCCCTTCTTGTGTCCTGAGTGTTGTCTCTACAAAAACACATGCACCTGTTGCCTGCAGCAGAAGGAACAAGGACTCTATCACCAGCAGCTGGCTCATGCATGTGTACACACATGCTCAGGCCCTATGGCCCACATGCACATGGTAACCATGCTCAAATAAGACACACACACTCCATCCCACCTCCCAGTGCCTAGCACCCTCACTGGCTGCCGTGACCATCTCGTATCTGGGGCCTTTTAGTACACACATGTGCTGATTCACAACACAGTAGCTCACCACACAAAGAGGCTGGTGTGCTCAGAGGGCCACTTGCAGTGCTCCACAAGGGACAGGGCTTGGTTTTTGGTTTTTAGGGTCCTTCTGTCATTTCTCCTTCCAAGGGCCTTTCATGGCTTCCTATGACCCACAGCACAGAGTCCCAACAAGCCCATCGTGTCTTTGTGTGTTCTTCAGCCTGCCGGCCCTACCTGCAGTCCCCTTCCTCATCCTGTCGGTGTCTCTGCTCTGGCCAGTGGCTCCTCTCAGTGCATCCCACACTGAATCTCTGCCCACACTTCTGCTCCCTACCCAAGTGCCCTCCTGATCCCTCACACATGAACCTTCTCTTAATCAGGACTTAAGTTAGGCATCTTGACAAAGCTCTGTCAGCCTACTCTCTGTCTCAGGGTAAGGCTATGAGTTGCCCAATGTTTGACAAATGTGTTAGCAAGACAAGTTAGAGCAGGTGCCACATCTACGGTCCTAACGTGTTGCACCTCAGCACAGATCTGGGCATGTCTGAACTTACGTTGGCAGTTACCAAAGTGCTTCTATAGCCACAGCTGCAGTTACCGTAGCACCCGCAAGGCCTCAGTCTCCTCACCATTGCTGAGAGATTGGCAGAATATTAGTTATCAACTGGTAGAGGGAAAACTGAGGCCCTGGAAAGGAAAGTGATGTGCCTGAAGACCTAGCACCCTTGCACTCCCAGTCCAGGGTTCTTGCCCCAAATTATGCTGCCTACCTTTACTTGGTCAACCTCATTCATCAGAGCACCACAGAGCAAGTCCCCTCCCTGCTTCACTTTGCTTTACAGAGGCTAGACTTACAGCCCTACCCCCAGCCCTGTGGAAGCCCACAGATGTTACTGGTTTGATGTATTTTCATCAGAGGATGTGGCCACTAGAAGAAACAGGACATTAGAGCGAACCTCCTTGAAAGAGTCATAGATAAATAAGGGAAAATCAAGGGATGAATTAGGATCCTTGTCCTGGAAATCTGTAGATAAGAGGCAGCCACTGCTGCCTCTGCCCCCATTCCACCATGCTGTTCCAGGCTAGGTGGGCCAGAGGCAGGAGGAAGGTAAAGCCATCAGACTGTCCCATGGCTCCCCACTGCTCCCTGTACCATCCCATGCCTGGGTGCCACTCTTGCACTCTCACGCTCATGTGCACACCCACATGCACATCACTTCCCTTGATGGTCACACAATCACAGTTTTTGCCTATTTCTATGACTAGAGCCAGGTACCCTCCTGGACCGATTGAAAGGGTCAGGAAGGGAAGCGGGGGAATCAGGAAGCCCTGCGTGTAAGTGAAGGAAATCCACATATCCAGAGAGGGTGTGAGGGTCACATCATCACACCTGACTTAGGCATCCAGAGGCAGGGAGAGGAGTTAAGGATCAAATGGATCATTGAGGAGGAAGAGAGAGGAAAAGGAGGAATATTCAGGTGGCTGCCAAGAGTGGGAAAAGAGGGAAGCACCATGCAAGTGCTGGAAAGAGGGGGACAAGTTGGTGACCCCAACCCTTCTCCACAAAAACAACCATGTCCAGAACTCAGAGCTTCCTGGGGGCAAGCTCCCTCAGCCCTTTACCATAGGGTCCCGAGCTCAGGACCCTCAGCTCACATGACAGGAATGCAGAGGGCTGGCTCTGGTGGTCAGGGCAGGTACTCTATTATCTGGACCAACATTCTTCCAGGCCATGCTGTCCCAGCAGCCTCTCTCAATGCATTTGGTCCCCTACTCACCTGAGGATGCCAGGACAAGCATGGTTGGGGCACAAAGGCACTGGGGGAAGGAGGACCAAAGGGGTCAGGGAAAGCCTCTGGCTTAGAGGGCATGGGGGTCTCAGGGCAGACGTAGCAGGCAGAAGCAGGGCCCCGTGACACAGGCAGGGCTGAGGGCACAGCGAGGGCTCGGCGCAGCTGTGTGGGGGATGTGGTAGACCTGAAGGTGACAAGGAGCAGGGGACAATGAGACAAATGATATGAGGAGCTCTGCCCCAGCCTGAGGGCCCACCCGAGCTTTGTGCCAGTCACGCCCATGCTCAGAAGCCCTGCCATTAGGATTAGGGTTTAAGGATAGGCTTAGGGTTTAGGGATAAGGTTAAGAATAGGATTAGGTGTTAGAATTTGGGGTATTGGCTGAATGTTAGGTTTAGGGATTAGGGTGAGGGTTAGGGTTTTGTGTTAGAGTAACAGATACTGTTAGTGTTAGAATTAAGGGTTAGAGTTAGGGTTTAGAGTTAGGGGTAGGGTTGTGCTTAGGGTTAGGTTTAGTGATTAGGGTTAAGATTTTTGTGTTAGGGTTAGGGCTTATTTGGGTCTGTGAACTCCTAAGGGCAGTGTCCATGTCTTTTCCTAAGACTGTGATCAGCTCAGTAAACATTTTATAAATTGAATGGAATCAACTACATTTCATTGCATAGTGTCATTTCAGAAAAGAACCCTGAAATTTCACAACCTTAAGTGGAGAAAATCCACAGAACCATCCATCATTAGCATCTTTTTGCAAATCAGAGTGATTTCACAGAAAATGTTAGCTTTTATTAAAAGCCAAGTTTACATATAATGTACTAGTAGCTAGTGCAATAAATTTTGGAATTTAGATAAGAAGGATCTTTTGGGCTGAAGAATGGGCTGAAGAATGAGGGCTGGAATGTTGATGGCCATTTGACATTACCAGTCCCTGGCCCCTGCAGCCCCAAACTCCCAGGCCCCTGCAGCCCTGAGCTCCTGCAACTGCTGAATTTGCCACATCCTGTAAGCACCCTGCCCAAGGTCCCTGTTACTGCAGAGGTTTGCAAGCTTCAAGGGAATTAAGCAAACAAACAGGATGTGGGTTGGAGGGCTGGCAGTGACCCTCGCACCAGAGTTGTTGGGTCTGCTTCTGCTATCCCCCCTAGACCCCTCCCTTGCCAATAAATCAGGTCATGGAAACTTACTGGCTGTACTCCCTCATCCCTTCCCCTGCTTATAAAAATGCCTCTCACCCAGGCTTGGGGTCCTTGCTAAAGCCTGCTGTGTCAGGTATTTGCTCGGACCCCAGCTAGCTGGACAATAAAGCCTCTCTTGTACTTGCTTTGTTGTCCTCTCTGCATCACTGAGGGCACGATAGATTTCTGGACCCTAACAGATCCATGTCTCCTGAAGAAGTATCATCTTGTGATTATAACTCCAAGAGAGGCAAAGAAGGAAGGATGCCTGCCACTTTGAAGTTCATCTGAAGTTTAGTAAGTCAGGACATAAGTAACTAGTGGAATCTCACTGGCTGTTGGATGGGGATTTCATTAGGAACATACGGGCCTACTGCATCATCTCTTTCTCTCTCCAGGATAACATCACCTGTTTCATCACTAGAGCTGTCTGTCATCTGTTGTCTCAACTCCATAAATGTGGCCTGGTAAGAAGGAAAGATCCCTCGTTGTGGCTGATCCCTGTCTGTCTGGCAAATGGGCCCCAGTGTTTTCACACATAAATGAAATAGACAGGAAGGCGGCTTCTCTTCTGCTTCAACGTGCAGGGCTCAGGGTGAGTAGAGGGCAGGAGGCCTGGTGCTCACCCAGCAGGTTTTTGAAGACTGTCCCAGGAGGTTGTAGGCTCCCACATGCAAATAGAACCTGTCCTCAACACTGCCCACCCTGACTCCAAGGAAAACAGGGAGTTATCTGGAAAAGTTGTTTTCTTTCATACTGCCTCCTTCCTACCATCAAAGATTTTGAGCATATCCAAGCCTCTGAGCACTAAATGGTCCATGTTAAGAACTTTGAAGCTATTCTTAAAAAAGAAACAAAAAAAAAATCAACAAGTGATAACATCCAATTTTTACATGCAATTCAAATAAAATATGTACTATTTGCTTTAATGTATAGGAAGTTTATTTATTTATTTGGAGAGGTTTTTGCTATAGGGTGCATGGGCTCGCCAGAAAGACAGAGAGAGATG